AATATTTATTTATTTACTTATTTATTTATTTATTTTTAAATATATCTTTGTTGATTTCAGAGAGAGGAAAGGAGAGGGAGAGAGAGAGATAGAAACATCAATGATGAGAGAGTCATTGATCAAGCCCACAGCCTGGGAATGTGCCCTGACTGGGAATCGAACCCTGATCGCCTGGATCCTAGGTCAACGCTCAACCGCTGAGCCAAGCCCGGCAGGGCCTAAACTAGTAAAATATTTAAATTTTCATATTTAAAAAACCAGAGGAGATGTGTTCAAACTGATAGATCATGATCTGTGTAAGTGCTATCAACTCTTAAAGCTCTGGTCACCATGCTCAGCTGGAACACATCTCATTGTTCCCACACCTTTCAACTAAGGTTTCCTGCTGTTTCTCTGACTCATAACCACTCAACTTCAGTGGTAGCCAGGAGTTGAAAGCCTCCTAGTGGAAAGCGTGCTGACTCTTGAGTCAGACTTACCTGTATTCAAAGCTCACTTATACCAGCTGGGTGATTCCAAGTAAACCATTTAGTCTTTTAAAGTCTGTTTCCCCTTCTGTAATGATTATCATCAATGCCTTAAAAAGAGGCCTAGTTCCATATTTAAAAACAATGTATGTAAAAACACGTAGAAAACATCTAATAAATGTTGTCCATAGAGCTGGCCTCTCAAGATCTAGGCAATATAATGAAACATCTGCCTTTATAGATGCTTCTAAGTTTCCCTTTCTCTCTGAGAAAGAAAAGGAGTTGCTTTTCCTTTGTGTTTCTAGTTATTCCCTAACTCATGCATTTTCTTTTGGTAATCTATTCCAATTTTTGTAGTCAATTATGTTTTAGATATCTGTACACCTATTTCTTTTGCCAATAATTATCAATACAAGTACAAATGATTTTCACAATTGTCAGTGTCTGAAAAAACAACATAATTAAATCTAATAAAATAACATTTTTCTAATGCTCCTTATTTCAATTATATTAAATATGCATATTGAATCCCAGAGTTGTTTCATGAAGTAACTTCAATCTCAGCTTTCTCTTTTCT